AATCTGTGGAATCACTATCATGATCAACATCATAGCATGCACATAGTTCCTAGAAAGAGATGGATAAAAATAAAAGACACTAAAAGATTATATCCCGAAGATATTGCAAATTACAAATAATAGTTGCTCGGTGAATGGTAGTAGGAGAAGCAACAAACCAACTAATAACATAAACATCATATGCAAAATCTAGACGAGTAATAGTGAGATATATCAAGCTCTTAACAATAGTACAATATAAAGTAGGATTTGTCAAAGGTAAAACATCAGAAGAAGAATATCTTACCTTAACCTCAATAGGAGCATCTACGGTCTTGGTATTAGTAAATCTAGTCCACTCAAGAATATATGCAACATTCTTCGACTGAGAAAGAAGGTAACCTTTAGGTGAGTAAGCTACCTCAATACCCAGGAAATATCGAAGATAACCAAAACCCTTCATTTTAAACTATCTAGTAAACTTTGTCTTTAAAATTAAAATACTATTAATGTCATCACCAATAATAATCATGTCATCAACATATAAAGACAGAGTGATACGACCTATTTTAGTGCACTTAATAAAAAAAAGTTAAAATTATGACTACTAAAAACAAATCTAAGAGATGAGATCATAATAGAAAATTTCTCAAACCAAGCACGAGGTGCTTGTTTGAGACCATATAACATCTTTTTGAACTTACAAACATACCTAAAGTCATGTGAAACACTAGGAGAGGGTATTATATAAACTTCTTCTTGAAATCAATTCAAGAAGGCATTTTTAAATCAAACTGAGAAATATATTGCTGACAAACCAAAGTTACGGTAATAAGAGTACAAATAATAGTTATTTTTTCAACATGGGCAAATATCTCCTTATAATCCATATCACACTGTTGAGAATATCCTTTTGCAACCAACCTAGTTTTATATTACTCAATAAACCCATCAAAACTAGTATTGATCTTACATACTTAACAACAACTAACAACATTCTTGTCATAAGGTAAAAAAATCAAATCTCAAGTATTTGTCTTATACAAAGTAGAAAATTTTTCTTTCATAGTTTGCTGTCAAAGAGGATCAACAATTATCTCTTTATAGGAAGAGAGCTCAAAGAGACAATGAATAAAAGTTGAAAAAGAAAGTAAATGAGGAAGAATAACAAGAATAAGTAAAATCTGGTAGCTTTATAGACTTACAAATGCATATCAATTGATCTAGAGGTAGATTCACAATCTCAAATGAAGTTTAAAGGAGTGTAGATGAGAATAAAGCTTCAGGTAGAGTAAAATATTTGTACCTGCAGAATGGTAAGTACAAATCGGTCGAACATGGAGAGGGGTATCTGAGGTACTAAAAACTTAAGATGATAAACTATCAGAATCCTTAGAGAAAAGATCTGTATGAATAAGATCAAATCTGATCAAGCTATAAGTAGTGGATGGAATAGAAAACAAAGGTATATGCGATGAAGAACGAAACAAGTACACCAAAAACTCTTAAAGAGAAATAATCATGGGCAAACCCATACAACATTTTGAAACGAGAAAAACTTGAAATATGAGAAGATGGGAATTTTATTAATCAAATTTACAGCAGTAAGAATAGTATCTCCTCAAAACTCATTAGGAATAGAAGCAGACAATAAAAAAGAACATGTAATTTTGACAATATGCCTATGTTTTCTTTCAAAAACTTCATTTTGTTCAGGAGTATTTACACATGATATTTGGTGAATAATTTCATCTAAGGCAAGCAACTCATAAAATTTATTAGAGGTGTATTCCCCACCTAAAATATTTGATAAGAGTAGAATATTGAGTTTTGACAGAAGCTTGAAAGACTCTATATATCTCAAAGAATTCAGAATGATGTTTCATTAAATAAACTCAACAATAATAAGTATGATCATAAATAAAAAAAACATAATATCGAGACATTTCTTTTATGGCAATAGAAGAAGGTCCTCATACACCAAAATGAATCAATTCAAATGGGAAAAAAGAAACATAAATACTTCAATTAAAAAGTAAAGCGGAGAATTTCACTAGTTTACATCCACTACAATCAGAAATATTACAAGTTTGTAAATTTTCTAAAACTCTTGTAGATGCCAAAAATCTCAAATAAGAAGACGAAACATGACCTAGACAAAAATGCCATAAATAAAAACTAGACGAGGAAGGACTCAAACAAAAAGAAGATAAATCAACATTAGTAGTAGCAACAGTAACTAGCACCTTTAACTTATCCAAAATATATAGTATGTTCTCCCTACGGCTTGTCTCAATCAGTTTCTGAGATTGTAGATCCTATACATAATTAAAAAAGAAAAGAAAAAATAACTAAATAATTACTAGAATCACATAACTGACCAACAGAAGCAATATTCAATATAAGCTTTAGAATAAGATAAACATTAGGGAGAAACAAATGAGATGTGACAATAGAACCAATACCTACTAAGAGCATGGGAGTGTTATTAGCAGTCATAATAGAAATAAAGGGCGAAGATAACATATAAGTAAAAGATGAACAATCTACAGACATATAATGTAAAGAACTAGAATCCAAAACCTATTCAGAATGTGACATACATGAGGAACTATAAGACAACTAACCTACGGAAAAGAAGCGAACAATGCTTATAGTTCTAAGGGGAGAAAATTCTAAAATTGCTCAGCCAAAGTACTAGGATCGGTGATAGAGCCTCGTAAAACTATTGCTACAGTATTGTGGTGTGGTGGTTTATAACCCTAAGGTGGTTTGTAAGCATTAGATTATGACTGGCTGTCAAGCTTCCAAGCTTAATTTTATTGTCTTAATTTGGAATATAAAGCCTTCTAATAACCTTTCTACTTGCAAAAACTGCACTCGTCAAAGGCAACCCTTATGTAAGACTTACTCTAATGATTGGAGAATAACTTAGAGGGTACTGGTAGTATAGAAGAATTCAAAGTATAAAGAATTTTATTTTCAGAATAAGACTGAAAACGTATTTTTTCAGCTAATAAGTCATTAACAACAGAGTAAATAGAAAGTAATGGAGAACGATATAGAATTAAACCTCTAAGTCCTTCAAAATCACTACAAAGTATTGTTAAAAATTGTATCAATCGTTGTTACTCTCTATGATCAATATAAACACCACGTGCTTTTAATTTTGCCGATACTATTAGAGCTAATTGATCTCAAAGATTTTTCATAACAATATAAAACTCCTAAATACTTATATTCTTCTAGTAAAGAACTCGTATATTATTCTCTAAATAATACTGTTTTGTAAGACTTGATTACATGAATAGCCTTTGCAGATGATCTCAAATCTCCTTTGTTGTCTCATACTTTGCTAACTACATGCCGATGGAATACTCAATAAAATTGTTATTCCAAGTAACAATCTTTGTATTATTTGTTTCTCATGCATCTATCAAAGCAACATCCCCCTCCTTGGTATTCGTAGGTATCATATAAGTTCCACTAATATATTCTCACATCTTTTTTACCATTAAAGAGATTTATCATTACATAACTCCATAACTCCACTACGAATAGTTCTTTCCATCCAACCCCACACTCATAGACTGAAATGAATCATTTTTTTTAGTAACCATAATCACCAAACAAAGAAAACCAAAATACAAAAGTAGCGAAAAACAAAATACCAGGTTGCAGAAACTAAACAGAAATCGTAGAAACTGAACAAATATCTTCTCGAAGTTATATGATTATTCCAAAAAAATTACAGAAACAAAACTCAAATACCAAATTGTAGAAACTAAAGGAAAGATGAAATACCAGATTTGCAGAAACTGAACAAATATCATTCAAAAAAATTAACACAAAACCAGTTGTTACCAGTTGGATCCGCGAATACTATATTTGAGATTAAGCCTCGCTTCATAAAATCAGCTATGATTCCATGTTAAAGCAATCTAAATTTACACAATAGAAATACGAGCATAAAAGAGAAAGAGACTAGGGTTTTCATTGAATACTTTATTTTGAAGTTATTATTTTAATATAAATATAAAAAGATTATATACAAACTAAACTAAAAATATTATTCTACTTTAATAAATAAAATAAATAAATATATTTCTTAACCACTAGAACCCTAACTTATCTCTCTTCTTCCTTTTCTTCCTTGACTCTCTTTCCATCTCTTCTTCTCAAAACGAAAAACCTCATCTCTAGTCACCTCAGTTTGTAATTATATAGTTTCTAAAGGAACCGAAAGTCTCCTCACCCAAAAGAATTAACAAAGAAACATAGCTGATTCTAGAATTTAAAACAGAAAAAAAAAAAAAACCCTCTTGCTTTCCTTGGTGTCTAGAAAATTACATGTTTCAAAACCAACTAGTTTAATCCAGAGAACCAACCTGCAGAAACAAATACATTTATTGATTTACACCGATGTCTCGAAAATCAACAGTTTTAACATCATCTTGCTGAGTGAAACAGCTTGCAAAATTGCAAATTCCATCAAATACAAATATATTTCATCCTTTTTAGTGCTCTTCCATGCCTAGTCCTGCTTCCTTTTCATATATAAAGGAGCATCAAATAAGACATGCAAGTTATACAATATACAGAACTGGGCATGTGAAGTTAGTGCTAATTTCACTAGCAGCTTTGTCCAGTAAGAGAAAAACTATGCCCAGCATCATTCAACAGAAAAGGTTTGTGGAGGACTTCAGTTTCACAATACTTAAGTATTATTCAATTGATGATCATTTTGTATAGATCTACTTATTGCATGAACAATTCAAATATATGGTAGAGCCTAGTGATGGAAAAACAACAAAATCCTCGAGCAAAAAGTTGTATCTTGTGATGGTTTGATATTTATATTTTATATAAGTTTGATTTGATAGAAACTCAAGAGTTTTTATTGAAATATATCTAGAATTGTTTTTCTCAGTATCTTAATGAAAAGAAAGATATATTTTGATAAAAAAAATTAAAAATATATACTTTAATTTTTTTCAATGAATATTTAATGAACAATTAATATGAGGTATGTCTATTTAAAAAGTCTTTAAAAGATGTAATTTTTATGTCTTTTAAATAAATATAAGGGTGCTTGTAAAAAAACAAATGATTTGTGTAACAAATTGCTAATTTAATTTATTTTCACATGTATTTCAAAAATATATTTGAATTGAATTATGTGGTTTAATTTTTTATTTTAAATATAAGAATTATAAAAATTATTAATTAAATTTAAATTTATTTAAAAATTAAATTCAATTTAACATGTAATTTAACTTAGATGGTAACCTCCCTCACTCAACAAATTACAGTACTTCTAAACTAAATATCAAAATTCTTATATATATATGACATAACCTCACATGTAACAAAGAATTGAATCTTATAAAAATACAGCATCTTAAATTATTTTTATTTTCAATTAAAATACAATTTTAATGAAAATTAATGTTAGTAAACAAAAAAATAATAATTAACCATCTTCAAATTTAATGGTGTGTCAAGATCTTTTAAAACAAAACAATGGAGTTCTTAAAATTAACGGTAACGATTGTTGGCTTTACATTCTTGTACTTAAGAAAATAAAATAAAAAGGTCATAGCAATCAAGTAAAAGAAGTGGTGTTGGATTTCGATAATTTTGTTTTTTTTTTTTTTAGAAGGCGGATGGTTCC